TACACCATGGGATGTAGGTATTCCAAGCAGCAGTTTAACTATGTGCCAAACACCCACCCTGGTACAACTTTGTTATGTCAACATGCCTCAATAAAGTGATAAGGAAAAAATTTAAATTGAAAGTTTGCTCTCATAATTTTCCCCTTCTCATTATATCTCCTGAAACTACCACTGTCCTTCAATGTTTATGGTATCTCTAATATATTATTTTTTTATATATTAAAAGAAAACACAGTCATTATTGAAGAGCTTTCTTTCAAGATAGGCTTACCACCAAATGTGTGTCTCATTTTTTCTCAAAGTGAGCTTTTATGCCCAGAACTAATATCCATTATTCATTCATTTTTGAAAAACTTTGTTTAGCGTATACAGTGCTCCAGCCACCAGGTTAATGACTGGGATATATAGGTGAAAAAATATAACTTATTTCCATAAGGGACTAATGCAGATGTAGCAGTGATGTAGTCTAATGAATGAACACTTACTCTGTAGTGGATAAATCGTATCATGCACTAGTGGAGGTACTATGATGAGACATAGAAAGTACACTCCTTGGGAAAGTCAGTATCACAGAAGTGATATTGACCTGACTCTTGAGAAAGGAAGCACTGGCCAATGGACTTGAGACTGAGGGGGATCATACTGGTAAGGAATTTGTTATTTTGAATGCAAAGAGATATGGGTGAAACTCTAAGTAGCTGTTGTGAGTGTTGTACTGAGAAGTTTTATGAGTGATCATGAAGAATCTTGTCATTAACCCTACAAAGCTTAAATTTTTTAATCTATAAATTGATTAAAAAACTCATTTGAGGAAAAAGTTAAAAATATGCATTCCTCGGGCCAGTGCTGTGGTGCAGCAGCTTAACACCCTGGCCTGCAGTGCGGGTATCCCATATGGGTGCTGGTTCGAGACCCAGCTGCTCCACTTTCAAACCAGCTCTCTGCTATGGCCTGGGAAAGCAGTAGAAGATGGCCCAAGTCCTTGGGCCCCTGCACCTGTGTGGGAAACCTGGAAGAAGCTCCTGGATTCTGGCTTTGGATCAGCGCAGCTCCAGCCGTTGCAGCCAATTGGATAGTGAACCAGTGGATGGAAGATCTTTCTCTCTCTCTCTCTCTCTCTTTTTTTCTTTCTCTCTCTCTTTCTACCTCTCCTCTCTCTGTGTAACTCACTTGCAAATAAATAAATAAATCTTAAAAAAAAAGTACATTCCCAGAACTGACTTTCCCTCAAAGATGCCTGGTGGTGGGCACTGGAATTCTGTATTTTAAGAAATCCTCTTAAGTGCTTTTTGGAACATACCACAAAGAGAAGCCTTTGAAATCTGGGGAAGCAAGGTAGTTGCATAATCAGAATTCTATATTGAATCTTCTGGTAAAACTGCAGAATGCCAAAACAACTGTTTAGTCAAGTCATTCAAATTACCAGTAAGTAAAAATATTTGCCAAATTGATTGGACAGTTCAGTCTGAAAGGTGACCCAATAGTCTGACTTGGAACCATTTTAAAGTATTTCTTTGAGCTTATCATTCCACAGAATAGTTCTTCTTTGCTTTTGCACTTCCTTCAGTAACACAACCCAGTTTCTGAGAGTCAGTGGTTTAGGTCCCAGGAATTACCCTTGAGTGACCCTTAAGTTTTATAGACTCCATATTCATGTTAACAAAACTCAGGCATTCTGCATTGGAAATGATTTGCTTGAGCTTCTGCTAGTAATGACATAAGAGAACTTGTAAAATATAGTCAAGTTCATATAAGCTAGGAAACTGAAAATCCAAGAGCCTTATTACTATTTATATTCAAAATTCACTCCAATCTGAGCTTAAGGAATTGTGCCTTTATTAGACTGTAGATGTTAGACCTAAAAGAGTTGTTATTCCTCACTGCATAGCCCAAAGGAGAACTTTCCATGCCATCAAAAATTATTCCTATGCAATGGAAGATAAATTATGATTTCTTCACTACATAAAAGGATCCATCTAAGCATATGCAGATTCTGAGTGATGCAACTAACCACTGACATATACAAGGGTTCTCAAAATTTGGGTAAAGGACCCCTAGCCTTGACATCCGTTTGACTCTTTCAAGGAGTTTGTGTTATTTTTTCTCTCTAACTACATCATCTTCATGAGGCTGTTTTCTTCATCTATTTCAACCAACACAATATATCCAGTTGAATGAACATAGAAAATTGTTGTAAGAATCCAACTGTCTTCTATTAAGTCATATAGGAAAGAGATTTGCAAAAAGGCAAAACAATGTTATTTTTAGCTAATTATTTTGTTTAAAAATATAATCATTACATAAACTATTATGCTATTATAATACATACTATTTCTTGTCATTTTAAATGAAATATTTTGAATTTTTCTCAGTTTTAATTTATAATATGATAAGTATTCATAGTTGGGGCTCACATAAATCAAAGCTTTTTAGGATCCTCAGTAATTTTAAGAGTGTATAAATGTCCTGAGACCAAAGGAGAGATACATGAAAATGTAGTATGTTTGGTCACATTTAGTGCATTTGAATATTTTAATTTTGGTCCATTCTCTGAAAAAAATTCCTACACTTCACTTCTAAAGACTATAGTTAATATAGATACAATTTTTTTTTAGTAGCAGAGTTTGCTAACAATTTAAGTTGCTCAGGGTATGCCTAACTCTTAAAAAATGGTTATATTTTCTTACAAGAAGCACACTTGCAAATGCATGTATGCATACTGTATGTGCATGCATGCATATTCAGTGGAGAAAGATGAGAAATTAAAAGGGTTGGAATACCTTTTCCAAGATTCCTAGCAAATAAATACAATATTACTGTATGTGGTCACACCTATCATGTGTCCTCTTCAGGTTTTTCCTGCCCCATACTCTTACAAAATCTTTTCCAAAATTGCTACATATATTTCTTTTTAAATTTTCTTCTAAAATAATATCTTTGTGATGCTTTAGAGACACATATCTATACATACAAGGTGATTATACTTATACATCTATACACAGCATCTATACACAGATCTATACACATCTATACACAGATATATAAAATGTGAATATATATGACTTGCATATATTTGTATCTTTTTCCTTTAAATCCAACTATCACTTCATCTTCATCCAGCTGATTCTATTTCTAATTTCCCAAGATTCCTCTGCATCATTTCTCAGACTTCAACAGCATTTGTCTTTCAACGTAGATGCATAAATTTTATTACTATATTATTTACCTAAGAGATTAAATAAAGCCAGACAAAACACCAGGCCTCCAAATTCTACATAAATAAATAAAGAATTAAATATTCTGTTCCTGATGATTGTCATTTACTGCTCCCTTTTTTCATTTATCATTAGAAGCAAGGTTGCAATACATGCTACAGTGTTCATATCTAAGTCACTTTGAATTAATTTTGCAAGTAAGATGTGTGAGATCTTGCATAAAATAATTCACTAAAGTCAATAGGTCACTTGCACCTTTTTAGGGAAACCTTCTTCCTTGCTAATTTTGCAACTCTTCTTCCCCTCCAAACCCTAAGCCAAACCCTATATGCCCCCTTCTGTCACAAAGGTTTTTCTTTTTCTAAAAATGACTCATTTAGTGTATATAGTTGCTGTTTACAGTTGTGCCATTCCACAGCTGCTCAAATGTTGTTTTTCATTCTTGCAAATCGAAACTTTTAACCCCAGGAATCTTTCTTGCTAGAGAGCAGCACTTTATGTTGTTACACATTTTATGTATCCAGAACCTCAGGATCATTGTATTCATTTTGGGACTACATTATGGTACACCCATGGCACCCTTGGTTAGAATCTCACTCCATCAGCACCTTAACCATCATCTTATCTTCAGAAATTTATTCCATGGGTCATATGCAGTGTGCTGTGGCAGGAGACTCTGTGGGGTCTCTGATATAAAGAAAAACAGTTAAGATTCAAGCCTCAGAATCATAACTAAACGACCAAATTATACTTCATTTTCTTGTTCAGAAATAAGGTAATAAGATAGGCAAATGATTATGGAGGAATATAATTGACTCTCAGTTGACGGGACAGTAAAGCGTCTTCCTTATGACCAATATTTGTCCATTAGAGAGGATGGTGATACTGTGGCAGAATTAGGACATAGTAGGGGGGTCCTCCAGCTCCAAAGTATATGTTCTGATTACTTTGAGTTCTTGGCAACAGTATATTTTAGGTTCATTCTGGCATCATCTTTGAAAATAAAAATGTCCTTCAATAAAGTTATAATACTGGTTAACCAAAGCTAATTATTAATAAATATCTTATATCTCTGAGGGGCCTGTATAACAAAAGAAAAGAAAAGAGAATGAAGAAAAGAGTGAGTGAAACCAAGGAAAAAGGAAAGTAGGAGTTTGAGACCAGTTCCACCAAAAGTCATTGTCCTGAGCAGTAAGGTCCTAGGAAGTCTTGGGCAAAAGAGGGTGAACAACTGAAACAATGAACAAGGGCCAGGATAGTGAAGCAAACTGATCCCCAGGCTATTCAACAGAACATTATAGGGAGCAGGGATCATTCACTCACTTACTTCTTCATTCATCCATTATTTATCCACCCAACAGCATTTTAAGCACACTTTTATGTCCCAGGTGCAATACTAGAGACAATAAAGGATACAAAGTTTGTGCAACAAATTCTGACATTGTCCTTAAATAGTTCAAAATGTAATGAAATGGCTTCTAGAAAGTTGGACAGAGAGATCACAGTCCAGGATATGGAGGCAGTTTCAGAAATGTCAAAGGACACCAAAGAGAATCAATCAGTTTCCCAGAGGCATAAGAAATGATCATTCTGTTCTTGCATGAAGGGGTGGGGCTAGTGTGGAGTGGACATTATGAGTGTGTTTCCTCATGGAAACTTTTGCCAGTTTGCCAATCACAATGAAATCCAATCATCTTTATTCTTGAGCAAGAATAAAAGGGACAAAATGTGGTGGAATGAGAAGGTGAGAAGGTCATGCCAAGATGGCCACTGACAACAGAAACTGACCAGCTAGCTCAGTCAGTAGAGCATGAGACTCTCAATCTCAGGGTCGTGGGTTCAAGCCCCACATTGGGCACCAGATGTTGAGGTGGATTCGTTTCTGAGAGGAGGAGCGTGGTGGGGGCAAGAGGCGCGGAATCACCACACAGACCCCAGGAGTCGGGTGAAAGAAGGCCTGGGGCAAGCAGCCTGCAGACTCGTTTATTTCAGTTGCTACTGCTGCTTATATAGCCAAGGCAGCCAATCTGGTCAAGGGGTGGTCTATGCCCTAACCAATCACAGCCTGTGCTGCAGTTTTTTTTTTAACTCTTAATTAATAAATATAAATTTACAAAGCACAGTTTATGGATTACAATGGCTTTCCCCCCCATAACTTCCCTCCCACCCACAACCCTCCTATCTCCCGCTCCCTCTCCCATTCCATTCACATCAAGATTCATTTTCAATTATCTTTATATACAGAAGATGAATTTAACATATATTAAGTAAAGATTTCAACAGTTTGCCCCCACACCGAAACACAAAGTGCAAAATACTGTTTGAGTACTAGTTATACCATTAATTCACAATGTACAATACATTAAAGTCAGAGATCCTACATGAGGAGTAAGTACACAGTGACTCCAGTTGTTGACTAAACAAATTGACACCCTTGTTTATGGTGTCAGTATGATTATCTCAATAGATGCAGAGAAAGCATTCGATAAAATACAACACCCTTTTATGATGAAAACTCTAAGTAAATTGGGTATAGAAGGAACATTCCTCAATACAATCAAAGCAATTTATGAAAAACCCATGGCCAGCATCCTATTAAATGGGGAAAAGTTGGGAGATTGCTTTAACTATTTGAGGTCTCCTGTGTCTCCATATGAATTTCAGCAACATTTTTTCCATATCTGAGCAGAATGTCATTGGTATTTTGATTGGTATCGCATTGAATCTATAAATTGCTTTTGGGAGAATGGACATTTTGATGATAAGATTCTTCCAATCCATGAGCATGGTAGATTTTTCCATTTTTTGGTATCCTCTTCTATTTCTTCCTTTAAGATTTTGTAATTTTCATCGTAGAGATCTTTAACGTCCTTGGTTAAGTTTATTCCAAGGTATTTGATTGTTTTTGTGGCTATTGTGAATGGGATTGATCTTAGCAGTTCTTTCTCAGCCATGGCATTGCCTGTGTATACAAAGGCTGTTGATTTTTGTGCATTGATTTTATATCCTGCTACTTTTCTGGTTTGCTGACCCATAAATGACTTGATAAAAACCACAATTTCATTGGCTTCTTTCCCTTCCATGAGTCACTTTTTCCTATCAGAGCTTCCTAGGATGTCCTTCCAAAGAAACCACTCATACTTGAATGTGTCTCAGGGTCTGCTTCAAGGGGAACCAAAACCAATACTCACAGTATTTCTTGAAATTTTGCAAGTGCATTTTCCAAAAATGCTTAAAAAGATCAGCTTAGGGGCTGGCACTTTAGTGTAGCAGATTAAGCCTCCGCCTATGATGCTGGCATCCCATATTGGCACTGGTTTCAGTCCCAGTTGCTCCACTTCCAACCCAGATCTCTGCTAATGCACCTGGAAAAGCATCAGAAGATGGCCCAAGTATTTAGGCCCCTGCACCCATGCAGGAGACCCAAATGAAGCTCCTTTCTCTTGGCTCCTGGCTTCGGTCTGGCCCAGCCCTGGTCGTTGCGGCCATTTGGAGAGTGACCCAGTGGATGGAAGACTCTTTCTGCTTCTGCCTCTCCCTCTAACTCCACCTTTCAAATAAATAAATAATAGTTCTTTCTTTAAAAAAAAAGACCAGTCTGAATGTAACCTTCTCTTTGCATCGATTCTTAATTTGCCCAAACAATCCTTCAGTCTTTTTGTTCCTATAGTACTGCACTTAATGACAATTATTCACTTTAATTAATTCGCTGTCCCAGTGGTATAGCTCTGGTGTCCCTATGCCTTAACCTCTAGACAAGACTGATTCATTTTTTTTGACAGGCAGAGTTAGAGAGAGAGAGAGAGAGAGAGAGAGAGAGACAGAGAGAGAGAGAGAGAAAGGTCTTCCTTTTTCCATTGATTCACCCCCCAAGTGGCCCCTATGGCAGGTGCATTGTGGCCGGTGCGCTGCACTGATCCGAAGCTTGGAGCCAGGTGCTTCCTCCTGGTCTCCCATGCGGGTGCAGGGCCCAAACACTTGGGCCATCCTCCACTGCCCTCCCAGGCCACAGCAGAGAGCTGGACTGGAAGAGGAGCAACTGGGACAGAATCCCGCACCCCAACTGGGACTAGAACCCAGGGTGCCGGCGCCACAGGCAGAGGATTAGCCTAGTGAGCCACAGCGCCGGGCAGGAGTGATTCAAATACCTATTCCATATACACTAGAAAGGCCACTGTCCTCCTCAGGATTATCTTGTAGCAGGCTTACAATTTTAAATTTTCTGAATAGCCAGTGAATGTTGAATTCTTGTTTCCTGCTCTGCAGTTCAAGGCTATCCCTTTATTTCTACCCTTGCATTTCTCCAAATATGGAATTCAGTCCTTTTCATGATTTCCACCAGAAAGGGAAAATAAATTACTGCTCATAGTCACTTAGTCATTCAAATATTTTTTTTAGCAAAATGCTGTTCCAGATATCATTCTAGTCTCTGGTGAAAATGAACAAGATTGGAGGAATTCCCGTTAGCTGTGGTCAGATTTATGTTAAATGCCATATCTCATACCACTGTTGGAGCTGTGTTATGACTAATCTCAACTTCACTTTTTTCCCCACAAAGTTACTGATCATTCATCAAGCATATCTAAGTAGTCCTTTTGTATCCATGAGGGATTGATCCCAGGATCCCTGAGGATACTAAAATCCACAAATGCTCAAGTCCCTTATATAAAATACCTTACTATTTCTATATATGCACATCTTCCTATATAGCTTAAATTACCTTTAGATTACTGATAATACATATTACAATGTAAATGCCAAATAAATAGTTGTTATACTGTATTATCTAGGGAATAGTGACCAGAAAAGAGTCTGGATACATTCAGTACAGATGCAGTTTTTCCCCAAATATATTCAGTCCTCAAGAGGTTGAATCTACAGATATGGAACCCATGGAAACCAAGTGCTGACTGTATGAACCATTTTCCAAGCATGTATTATAAACTACAGGGGTTAACAGTCCCATTCCTCAAGCTATTGTTGCCCAAGAATAAAAGTACTGTGTCATCATCAGGAAAGCCTGGGAGAGTGGGAAGAGGGAGGCCTTACTTTCTAGCTCCTGTAGTTTAGGAATTATAGGTCCAATCACACTTGGAGGACAGTAAACAAGGGGCTAAGAATCCAGGCTACTACCAGGATATGGTTCAAGACAGCGAGTGAATTCACAACCAGGCAAAGACCTGAAGACTAGGTCACCATGACAGCAATGGTACCCATTCAGTAGAGGCTTGGAGGTAGGGACGTAGGAACACAGCCTAAAAAATGAGTTGAGGGGGCAATGCAAAACCAAACCAATAAAATTCCCAGTCCTCCGAGAAAAGTTAGCAGAACAGTGTGAAGTAGCCCAACAACAGTGACCTGGTGGCTCTAATTCCCGAGGCCTTGTTATGAGTATATTCAGATCATCATTTTTGTTTTCAAAGGCTTGATTAAGACAACTGATTATGGTATCATCAGTGTCAATAAAACTGCTACAAGGAACTTATCGGCAATCCTGCTAATTGGGTAATTTGGAATACACTTGAATAGGTCAAACCTGAGATACCCTGATTAGTGGTTTGTGGCTTTCCTCTTCAAGTTGTCATCATTCTCCTCACTCAGGAGAATGGATGTCCTTGTGTATAATAACGAGCCATTTGATTTTCTCTTAATTGAGCTCATAGTGTAACTGGACCCCCTCATTCACTGGGAGTTGGCTCTCAGCTCTCCTTTCTGTTGGTTAGGAGACACCAGTACTTTAGCAGGCATTGTAATGTTCTTTAATACTTGATGAATCTTGCTGTCTCTATGTTACTATACACATCCACATTAAGAAACTTGAGACTGCTACTGTAAGTATTAATCTTAAGCGATGTTGGGGTCATGCCTTTGCAAGGCTATTCTATTGTAGTTACAATAACTCTCCTCTGCTTCTCTCTCTTTTCACTCTACTTTGGGAGACTCCATCCTCCCCCAGTGACTAAGTCTCTCCTCCATCTCTTGTAAAGCATTAATACCTATCATTTTCCCTTTTACTTATTCCTGATTTCATTTATTTTTCCACGAGTAACTAAACCTTCATATGAAAGAAAATATTTAATTGTACATTTTTTGCCAATTATTAGTAACATTTGATGCTCCATTACTTTTTTTTTTAATTTCAGTTACTTCTTATGTCATAAATCCATGGAGACTACAGAAAACACCACAATGTTTAAAATAACAACTTTTCAGTGTTAACTATTCTTTTATAGGGATTTAAAAGTTAATTTCCATGTGGACATTTAGAGTAGCTATTAAGATGCCCACTTCCCAGATTGTAGTGCTTAGGTTTGATTCCCAACCGTCTCTCCTGACTCCAGCTTCATTTTAATGTAGATTCTAGAAGGCACCAGTGAGGCTTGAATGTCTGGATTCCTACCACCCATATAAAATACCAGGCTTGTTGGGGCCGGAGCTGGGGAGCAGCGGGTTAACGCCTTGGCCTGAAGCACCCGCATCCCATATGAGCACCAGTTCAAGACCTGGCTGCTCCTCTCTGATCCAGCTCTCTGCTATGGCCTGGGAAAGCAGTAGAAGATGGCTCAAGTCCTTGGACCTCTGCACCCACGTGGGAGACCCGGAAGAAGCTCCTGGCTCCTGGCTTCGGATCAACGCAGCTCCAGCAGTTAGGGCAATTGGGGAGTGAATCATCAGATGGAAGACCTCTCTCTCTCTCTCTCTCTCTCTCTCTCTCTCATCTCCTCTCTCTGTGTAACTCTTTCAAATAAATAAAAATAAATCTTTTTAAAAAAAATCTGGATTGCTTTTCCTGTTCAGACCCCAAGACATTGCAACCACTTGAAGAGTGAACCAGTGGATGGGAGTGTTCTATCATTC